TTGACTGTAATGCCTGATTCCTCTGAAAGGGGTTAGCTTTTGAGGGATATACGAGCACTTGTGTAAGCAGCTATACATTCTCCAGTATTTCTTCAACAAGTTTAATGGCGCTTGGCTATGCAGGTTTGCAATGGAATGTACTGCAGTGTAAAAATTAATGGTACACTTGGTATCATGTCCTTTTTTTCGTAACGATTAGTCTTCCTTTGGAGCCTACTGAAGTAAATAGTTCTTTTTCTATCTCTCTCTGCCTTACATCGAAGATTCAGAATTAGTGTCATGGAGCCGTCTGTGTAATAAGGTTTTGTGCTAATAGGATTCATTACCCTCGGCTCTTCTGCCATGTTCATTAATTATCATAGAAATTTCATCATCTTGTGCACAGCTGTTCCTCCTTGAATTACGTTTTGGTCGTCAAAAAAGACAACCTTCTTGTCGTGGGTCGTGCTGAAGGAAAACAAAGAGCGTCAGCTTGATGGCTATGAAGTTTTTGAAAGGAGCTTCGTTTGCGAAGTCAATTGTGGGCACCAAATTCCTAAATATGGGTTGATTATCAGAGTTTCATCTTCCCCATAGCTCGCTACTAATATTCTCACTTTCACCCAGAAACAAGTACGTGTTTGGAATTTATGCATGCAGTGTTCCGAAACAAAATTCAATAATGAATGCGGCTGGCGAGGCGGCTGGCTCTGGCCGAGCCAGCTCACGATATCGACCCGGGCACATTAAACTCGTCGCGTTTTAAGTCGTTCCTTGAGAACTGTGTTCGTCCCCTCTGTTTTTACAGAGAAGCACCTTTGTTAGTTTGTTAGTTGATTCCTTCTTCTCTGGGAAGTAACTCATCAAAAGATTCTTTGTGTCTATCATAAATCACGAGCCTTGCGGAAATGTTCATTGATTTGTGCCACACCCTAAATCACAGAGTAAAGCCACGGTTTTTCTCTCTCTTCGATACTTTGTGGACGTGGTTTTTCGCCTGTTTTTGTTATCGCAATTGAAGACATATTTTTTTGACGTCCACAGCTCATAGTTTCAACAGCCGCCACCGACAGATAACAATGTTGTGTTTGCTGGCAAAAAGATTTCCGAGAATTCTTGCGGTGACCTTGTAACAACTTCGACAAACATTAGCTATTAGTAATAGGAATGGGTTTAGGTAGTGCAATTCACCGTCGAATAGGTATGAGCAAGCTGTCATGAACGGGGAATATCATCTTGATGGTTGTAACGGACAATTTTCACACCTATCCCTCTCAGCTATCGCATCGCGGAATGTGTTTTTCTTGAAAATTTCAGGAGATAACAGCTGATTCAGGCAGAAATTCAAACAGCTATGGACTATTAGTTTGAGGCTTCAATTCACCGAGGTATTGCCATGATTGAAAGACAGGGATGTGCATAGTTGTTTTTCGTTACCCTTCGAACCTTTCAATTCTCTTGAAATGATTACTTGAGAGAGGAGAAAGATGCCCTTTCTGAGCCAATAAGTCTCCCGTCAACCCACCTGAGTTTTATGAAAAAAGGAAAGTACTTATTCAGTTCTGCGGGCATGGGAATGGTGTCAAGATGAGTATGGCCTGTAAAACGCTTGATTCAATTTAGCCTTGGGCAACGCACACCAGACCTTGCACCGCATGTTCGCGGCCACTTATACCCGATCCCGCTCAACATTCTACATACTGCTATCTTTCTTGAGTAGGATCGGGGATACACGATACCCGAAATACTGCCTAGGTTTTTTTTCCTGGGAATTAGCCGTCTGAAGTGACGTACTAATGAGGAGAAGATTTTTTAGTGCGTAATAATCATGAACATTTATATCCAAAATTTTGTTTGGAGTTAACGTTAGGAAATTGCGCGTCATAGGTGTAATGAAAAGCAGTTTGCAAAGAGCTTGATCTGATATGCCTGATGCCAACTGATGTCAGTGTAGAAGTCTTCTCATTTGTCTTTTTTCTAAAGGTTTGATCGAATGCGATTGAAAAAATCTAATGGAGTCCATCCTGCGACGGAAAGGAGTGGGACAATGACTAACAGTCAATGACGTCACAAAATAATCCGGGTTAGTCGAAGGATCAATATGAACGCTAACAGTAACTTCCTTTTCCATGACACCATCCTCATTGCGCCTACGTGACTTTTGCGGATTGGCACACAAAGCGACATACAAGCAAAAACACAAAGGTAGCTCTTCATTATAGAGAATATCTAATGCAAAAAACCGGTCTTAAAAATATTGATTCTATCGTTACATTAATTTTTCTAGATGGGGTCAAGATGTCTATGAAGTCTTGAAACGAATGTGATCCATTGCCTCTTTTTCCCAGGCGTTTCGCTGATTCAGAACCGAGCTTCTGGTGGATTATCGTTTACGGCGCCTCGCGTTTCTATGAGAACCATCCATACGGGATTAAACCTGACGTACACTTTCTTTGTTAATCAGCTTAATTTAATCTCAGTCGATGTGGTTTTTAATCGATAATCTTTCTGAAACTTTAGCCCTTGGGGAAAAGAACTAGCAAGTGGGAATCGCAATCGTTTATGGGTCATCCGCAGGCTATAATTGTTGTTCCTAAGTTGAGAATAGTACGATTTTGGAGTTTTGTCGTTGATTGTTCTCCTGTACAGAAAATGAAGAAGAAGCATGTCTGGCTGCATTATGTTATGCATTAATAATATAGAATTTTTACTAGCACCTTCTCTTCTTCAGCTTCTTCTCTTCTCGTTCCTCTAAGCCGAGGTGTTAAACCTTGTAAAGCTGTTTCCGTTCAAAATGTTGTATGTATGCATTTTCAGGCCCGCCTGTGGGCCGGAAGTCGTCGTTGGCCGGGCATGGTTCATCCTCGTCTTCTGGCCATACAAGTCCTTCAGGTGACTTTTTCTTTTCTTTCTCAGATTTTTGTGTATTTTTTCTTTGTCCTATATGCTAATGGTTAGGAAGCGAAGTGGCGTGATGAATAGCTTATCCGCAACGCGTGTCATGAGTTTCAAGTTTCTTATGATTTATGCTGTAAAAGTTGCACTTTTTCAACGAGTCGCATGAGTCAGAGGTTCACCTCGCACTGACCTTTTAATGGCTAGAGTTAAGGCAACGTCCACACTAGCAATTGTTGCGACATCCACCATCCGCCACTTATACGCTTACTTATTGTTAGGTACGATTGCAATGCTCCCATTCAAACTTTCTACTGATGGGTGACTTCGAAGTTCCCATCCACCCACATGCTCGGCTGCTCCGTGATTAATGGGGAACTCAAAGAACGAACCGTCTTTGGTGACAGGAGACGAATGGCCTGGGGATGTCGCGGATTTCATGAGAATGATGGGGCTGAGTTTCAAAGGTTGAGCTTAATCATTAGGCACAGTGATGTCATTGAGTGAAATGTGAACGGATATGCTGTAATGTCGTGTGCCATATTTTGACGAAGCGATTGTCTTGTCAGGGATCCACTGAGAAATTCCTCATGCGATTTTTCGAAGGTAGCGCAGGCAAAAACGGAAAAAACGTTCCATTCTTCATCTTTTTTCATATTTATGCTCTAGAGAAACAGAGGAAGCATTCCGCTTTACTTTTTCTCGCAAAATGTGCTTTGTCCATTGAGAAGGATTCATTCAAGCGATTTATAGGGTAGCGCTTGATTGACGATTACTTCTACTCACTAACAATAGTGCCTCTTTTTACCCATTTTAACTGTTTTCGGAACTCATTTGAATGAAGGAGGGCATTGCTAGAATGACCAATGATAAAGCCATGTGGTTTGGCCAACTTTCACACGTATATATCTATATTTATTTATTTATTTATTTATTTATCTATTTATTTATTTATATATTTATTTTGTATAAATTGGCATTAGTTCTTCGCCATTTTTCCGAAATTGTTGTCCGTCTGCTTTCTGCATTGAATATCTCCGTTCAGAATCGCCGGCTCGGTCCCTAGCAGGAGGTTCATCGTGCGGTGAAGGCGAACGCTCATTGACGACACCGCCTCTTCCACCGGCTCTCAAACATAACCCAACGACCACTAATAGTCGCAAGGTTAGCGTTTTATTCTATCATTCAATAGTTAATTAAATGCAAGTATTTAATTGATATTCACAAATTATGAAAGTTTTAAAAGTGAAATTGGAAGATATAAACGTTCGCGGTGGCAGTCTGCTCTTGTAGTGTTTTGCAAGCTTCCACATCCTATCGGGTTGTTAGCATGAGTCAGTTGCACATTACATTGGCTGGATTCTTATCGAAAAATTCGTTGACGTTGACGAAATTTCTTTCAAGATGTCGAGACCTTTTCACGATGGAGCTATGCTTACTTTCACATGACATTATTTTCTCGAAATGGTGTTTTCAATGTCCCAGTCGTTATTTCAAGCTTTTGTTGTCCATCAAAGAACACCCGATTGGGTAACATTCAAGAAATGTAAGAACAAACGAAACTCATTAGCTTTTTCAATTCGGTAAAGTGCATCACAGGAAACCGACTTCATCCTTTTTACAAGTATCTAACATATCATCAGTTTCCTTCAGTCAACATTATCATCACATTGAACCGCGCTACTTAGAAACTGTCTTTGCCGCCGCTCAGTGTATTAAAAAACTGTTTTTGGTTTTTACCCGGGTTTCTAACCAATAATAATTATAATTAGATCCTGTAGTTGTAAAGTGCAGCGCATGATAATGTAAAAAAATATGATGGTTATGGTATGGTGTTAGAAGAGACCTGGATCACGGTTCTTGCTGAGCGTCTTCAGAGAGGAATTGTTGACTGAAGTGATGCAGTCTTGGCAAAAAGTCTGAGTCGGTTTTCTGCATTAGATTTATGAACTAGATCTGGTATAGAGTTCTCGTTATACATATATCTCCTGATTTCATTCATTTTACTAATCCGGGCATGAGATTGATAAAAGCAGCACTCAGTGCTCTTTTTCTTTCAAGGCTCGAACTGAAACCACCGGACTTTCTCCAACGATCTTCGCATGAAAAGCATTCGCGTGCATGTTCTGGATGAATAGGTTCCCGAATGATTACATGCATAGCGTCCACATTATATCCGGTCCACTCTCGAAAATGGCCCTTCATAAGTGAGAAACCAGATCAGCCAAAAATCGCGTTGCTTTTCTGGCTCTGAGTTTTGCTTTTGGTTGCGCATGTTTTCAATCGAGAACAGAGGTAATTTTCACATCAAATTCAGCCTGTTGCGCTGCTCTGATTAACTGAAAAAAAGATGCGAGTAGCTTGTATTCCCTATCAAGTTGGGTGGGTTAGAGCTAGTGGAGAGTGTAGTTCAGTTCGCGGGAAAGTGTAACTAAAAACAAGCTACCAACAATTTTTTAAATCAAATGTATCAAGGGAAATCTCCTCATCCTCAAGTACTCTTCCATCTGACATTTGGGCCCATATAATTAATAGGAAAAACCTCCTTACCGAGTTTTATCTATGAACTGCATCAGTGTATTTACCTTTGAGAATGGAATTCAAAATCTAGTTGCCACAGGGCTGTTCAAATTGAAGATGGATTGGTCGTTAAGATTGGTGTTTCGCGACTTTTCCGCCACTGATTTTCGTTGCTGTTGTAAGGGCACTCTCGTTGTGCAGGGTCATTGGATTCTCTTTTAACTCTTTTCTAACTTTATTTTCGTTATCCTTTTTATAGTGTTCCCCTCTGAAGCTAAAATCTTCGCCCACACCATTATCAGTCGTTTCTTCATGGTATCTTGGATTGCCTTTCCACACCCTTTCTGCATTTCTTCTATATGATCTAATATTAATACTTGGAGAAGTCTTTGATCATCATGCTAGGATAACTGAATTTTCTTGGCCATCTGTGACTTTGCACTCGATGCCGCTTGCGACGTTGTCCATCTAAGGATGCAACTTGAAATACTTCTTATAGCTGCTTTCGGGGTGCATTTGCTTCTCATTTGGGATGGTGCAGTATATATTTACAGCAACAGAATTAATTTAATTTTACTCTGTGGAATAGATTCCAGCAGTCGCTGAGCCGCTGTTCACCATTTCTGTCTCTATAAGCTCAGTGGAAGAGTGAACCACTGCTTTCTTCATTTCCAAAGTTCATATTTTAAAAACTAATAAAGCGAGTTGAGGAGGGTAATTGCACTTACTTATTTTCTCAGAAAGTTTTAGTTCCAACCCGTTTATTAGTCTAAGTACATTCGAAATGAAAAAGGGTGGATTTCCCCTTATTTATATAATCTCCAAATGTTAATAATTATAATACTTCATTTGCGCAAACAACCCCGGTTAGATTTGATTCACTCTTACAAACTAGTCTTGTTCCGCAGGTTAGAAGTCCATTCCTATCTTCAAGAGTTGGTTTAAATCAATGTTTAGTTTCAGAATGTCGATTTCACAATTTTATTACTTTAATGTCCATGTCTTTAGCGAATGATATTTCAAAAATGTCAGTCTTTACACTTAATGACGGTAACAATTTTTTCACCAGGCCCAAGGTGGATATTTATCTTTTGCCCAGCGTTTGAAAGTCGAGAGCAGCGTTCGATAGCAATTTCTCAACAGTTGCGATTTTTCTTGTTTCTTGCTAACAATCGCACATTTGTTTATGCGTTTCTCGTGAGTTAGAGCTGTTGAGTTCCTTCAGCATTGATCTCGTTCTAAAATAAATAGCCTTTGATTCGCTCAGAAATACTTTCCTCTGCGATTTT